GCAGATATCCAAATTTATGATATCGGTATCGGTATCGGACATAAAAAAGTGGTATCGTGCCATCTCTAGTCAAAACCACCTGCTGTTATTCAAAAAACACTAGGGGAATTCCTACCCGAACAGAAACCTCTCCCTCCACTTTTTCCATGTCACCCAGTAATGCTGAGATCAGGGAAGACTTCCCACAGCCAACATGGCCCACCACAGCCAGCAGGGAGCCCTGGGGCACCATCACGTTAATACTGCAAGCACACAATCAAACATTTTACTAAAACAAATACGGTGAATATAAAAATACGACGTGTGGCTTTCGTAGCATACTTGTGTAGAACGGGAGCGTCGTCTTTGCCCCACGTGAATTTCCCATTGACAACCGTGACTGCAAACTCTGTTGAGCAACAAAATGACACAAGTGAAAAAAAAGTCCAAGTCATCCAAGAACTGGCCAGGTAGGAGTCACTAGGTGAAGAAGAAAGCAGTGAACTTAAACTCAAGCATGATGTAATCTAAATGACTAGACAAAGCAAAGTTTTGACAAGTTAATCCAAGTGTTTAATTCCACCTGTGACTGTGTTGTTTCTGTTTACGGAATCTGGATCCAGCTCATCATGACTCAGGAAATTTTGGACTCGCTTCAATGAGACGCTCGCCTGAGATGCAGAACAAACAGATGCATGCAATGAATTCTGCTAAAGAAAACCCGACACACGAACACAGCGCAGGAGGTGAAAAAGGTTCCCACCTGTACCAGGCTGCTGATGACTTGGGGAAGCATGTTGAGGGGAAACCTAAGGATGTTAAAAAGCGAGATCGACACGAAGGCCGTCTCCGCATCCAGGATGTTTTTTTCATCCACAGTTACATACACGGCAAATGTTGTCAAGGCAACCTGGAAACACATGGGAAAAGCAGACCACTCAGACATCAAGGTTCATCGGTTTCGTGCAGAGAGGAGGCAGAGCCGTGATGCCAGACAGTCGGTGACTCAGCAAGGATCTAAATATCAACAGCACCATTACGGCGTTATCATCGACACAGATAAACACTTGTTTTGGTTGCTGAAGTGCTCATTTACCCAACTAATAAAACACGTGTCCACAAAATCTCACATGTGACCTGAAGAAGACAACAATTGCAGGCATGAGCACATGTGAAAAGAAACGCTGCTCACACACCATATGAAGACTTTTCTCCATTTTTCTTTGCACAGAAACTTGACCTCGGGGTAAGGCCATGTGTATATATACGTGCTTCAGTTCAGTTTCCTGTGGTTTTGTTAGTCCGCTGCAGAAAGACGGCTGCTGAGTGGTGAAAGTCGAAGCACTAGAAGCACTCTGGTTCTTCCAATATTGTCTCAAAATCACACTTTTCTTAATATTTTAGCCTTTTGCAATTGGGACACAAACTTTCTGTGGTGGCTCCAAGTGCA